TATGGAACCAGGACTTGAGAAGGGAGCTTTAGAATCCAAGCTCTGGATATTTTACATTATATCAGGCTGTTTGGGGACAAAAATATCTTTAGAAGGTCAAGCTATTTTATTTTAGAGAAATTCTTAATTAGGTGCTCCCAATTCCATTTTATCCTGGCTCACCCAGGGGCCCTCTGATCAGTAATATGGACTTTAGAAAATTTGAAATTTTTTTGCTAAAGAGCCGTACAGGTTTCCTGTCAGATATAGTGCTCGTCATAGATGAGTACATGACCATGTTTGGTTATTCAGTTCCTGTCTTGTGAGTTGGTTAGTATAAATGGAATCCTCTAATCCTAGATGAAAATTACAATTACATTTCTCACCCTGAGAAACTCAGGGAAACATCTCAGGGTGATGATCATGAGGATGAAGTGGAGGAGCCAGAGAATCCATCTGCTTGCCTGTCTCTTTGAATGACACCGGAATCTGCATCGGATCCCAATACCCATCTCCAGCCACCACCGCAGCCTCAGCCTCAGCCACAAACTTCCCATTCCGCAGACTGTATACAGCTGCCTGTCTCTCTGACACCTCAAACACAAGGTGATCCCCCGTCTCCCACACCTCATTTGTTTCATCCTAGAATGTGCTGCCTTTAGTGCAGTTACAGTTCACAGCAGCCTCTGACTGGGTTCCCTGCTTCTCCACCAGCAGCAAGAGGGTTAAGCCATCATTTGAAATTCAAGGCAGATAGTGTCACTCTTGTGCTCAGCTATGCCACTGGTTCCTAACACATTCAGGGCAAGACCCAATCCTTGCAAGGCCCCCAATCCCCACATGACCCACCACTGTGGGTGCCCTTCACACATCCAATGCTTGGACATTGGCTCCTACCTCCCCCTCCCTCAGGGTGCTCAATACAGGAGCCTCTTCATTTTTTCCTGGAGCAGGATGGACACACTCTTACCTTAGGATCTTTACCCTTCCCTCTCAAGGGAGCGTCTCTTTTCCAGTTACCCACATGGCTCCCCCTCACTTCAGATCTTCTCCAGGTATCTCAAGAACATCTCTGCAAAGCTCCGTGTATGTGCGTATGTGTGTATACATATATACATATACAGAGAGAGAGAGTGATGGAAGGGAGAGACTGAATAAAGTCATACGTGATAAAGTGACATGCAGCTGTCCCCTCTAATTTCTGAGAGCCCAGAGCCTGGACCTTTAATTGTAGGAACCCTTGTTCTTGATCTGAATGTACTAAGGGTTCACCGCTGGGCCCCCTTTTTTTTTGAGGAATAGTAGTGATATTGTAAAAATTATCTTCAAGTGTTTACAAGAGAAAGGAATGTTCTTTGCAAATGCATGATAATCTCATCTAGGAGACATTTGTGAAGAATGTATTTAGTTTTCCTTATCTCACTGCAAAGACAAAACAAGGAGACTCCACAAAACATGCTCTCTGTGCAAAGACCTAAGGTAACTTCCAGATCCTAGACCAGGGAGGTGAGCTACTTGAGCTATGTCCCTAGAGCCAGGAGCATGGCTGACCTGTGCTGGAGAAATCATGCTCAGGTGTCCTTGCTGCCAATAACACCCAGATGTGATGTTGAGGAAGTTTTCTACAGAAACAAATTGCTGTTCCTAGAGCCTTCAATGCATTTTGACTGTATCAAGATTCAACCAAACAATGTAATAAATCAACTTGATTACCACTGAATGTCAGAGTGACTATCTAATGGATGGTAGGAAGTGGGGCCTGGCCAGGTATTCTGTGAACCTTGTACTCTGTTGATGTCCTATACCTTTATGTACTCGATAATTGATTATTCCTTGTTCCTTCAACAAATAGTGATTGAGTCCCACGGAAATAAATGAAGACTGGCCAAACGAGAAAAGCAAAGGCCATTTATTTAGAGCTTGCTCTAGCAGAGGAGTCAGCCACTGCCACCAGCATTTTGCCGGAGACTCAAAGGCGGGCAGAAAAGTGGGAAAGCTTTAGAGTGGGGAAAAAAGAAGCTTTAGGTGTGCCCTAATAGAGGCAGTTGGCATGGGGAAGCAGTGTGCATATTGGTATATATTTGGCTTTCTTTGGTTCATTCTAATTGGAATCAGGGAAAAAATTAAGGAAGCTGTCAATTATTAATATAGTCCTGGCCATTTGGGGCCTATTGCTCCAGAAGTTATTGTTTAGTTTCCTAGTTCATTACTAAAATGAGCACTCTGACTTCCTACAAGTCTGACATTGAGCGGGCTGGGTTCCTAAGCTGTTTGTTGTAGACAAGAGAGTTGGTTTCCTGGCAGATTGCTGCAGGGGGAGGGTGGAGTTCTATTTTCATACATAACCCTGCCATTGCCTGTATATTCAGTCTCTTAGCACCGATACATGTGACTATCCCACTGCTGATGGCATTTGTGAAAGAACTCCTAAGAGTTCTCATAACAAGAAAAAATATTTTTTTTTATTTCTTTTGTATATATATGAGACAATGGATGTTAACTAAATTTATTGCAGTAATTGTCTCACTACATATAGAAGTAAATCATGCTGTACACCTTCAGCTCACATATAGCCTATGGGTGGGGCACCGAAGGCATCTCCCACAACACTCAACTTAAATCAGCACTTCTCTCTTCTTCCTGACCATGCCGAGTGGCTTTTGTTGTTTGGGAATTTCGTTTCATTCTTTCTTAAACACAAAGTTATGGAATTTAAAAATATCTGTAGCTAATTATACTTCCAGATATATTTTAGCAATAACTGAGGTCCCTGCATCTCTGATTTATATTCTCTCGGTGTTCTATTTTTTCACACTGAAGCCCATCCTTCTGTGGAAATCTGTGGGCAATGAACACCCTCTCTGCTTCTATTTGTCTGAAAATGCCTATTTTTTTCCTTTTGAAATGCCAATGTGACTAAATTAAAACTTGCAGGTAAGTTTCTTTCCACAGATGCCACCTGCTCTCTTCTGCTCTTGACTGGCACGATGAGGAATCTGAGGAAGTTGACTGCCAACCATTTATTGTTAAGCCTTCTTTCTTTTCTGGTTGCTTTTCTGGTTGTCTCTTTATCCTTGATGGCTGCAGTTTCACTACAGTGGATTGGAGTGTGGCTTTATATTTATTTATTTATCCTGTCCAGAATTCAGAAAACATTTTGATTCTGAGAACTTGGGTTTTTCTTCAATTCGCAGGAATTTTCTCTCAAATGTCGATTCTACCCCTCCACTGCCTCCATTCCCCCTGTTAGAACTCTTATTGGGCTGATTAGAAGCCTATCATTTTATATTCTGGATTCTTAACCTGTTCTTTGTATTTTTGTAAACTGTGCCTTTCTGCTTAATTCGGAGAGTAACTAGGTACCAGCTTTCAATTTACCAATTTTCTCTTAAGCTGGCTCCTGTCTAGAGTTTATCCCAACTACTATTTATTAACATTTAATGCAGTATTTATCCTCCATGTTTTTCATTGGTTGTTTCCTGCTGTCATCATTCAGAGTTCATTTCTGACTATTTTTCTTTACTATTTTGTATTCTATTTTGGTAGGAGATCCATATTTACTTGTCCCTTCATATATCTTCAACATACTATTTTAAATTCTTTGTCTAATTCTTCTATAATATGAATTTCATCTTGGGTGAATTATAGTGTTGGCTCATGTTTGGTTGTTTGCTTGTTATTGGCTCCTTTAGGAAGGAAGATTTAAATTTTTCATTTTATTACTATCATTTTTGTCTCTCTCATACATGTGCCTTGCAAAAATGTGCACCCACCTCTCTACTCTGCTCAGTGGTTAATGATTACTTCTTTCCAGGCTTCTGGGTGCCACATCCTGAAGCAAGTTTTAACTGTGAGAAATCACAGTTGCTTCCCAGTGATGGTACAATGGCAGAGCTAGCTGGCTGGTCACCTGGAGAGCTGAGTGTCATCTTAGTGGCCATCATAGAGATGTTGGACACACGTTAATGCCCTTGTTCTGATGTCTGGGATTCTGCTATGCACAGGTTCCTCTCCCGTCCTTTGCCCTGCCCAGGACTTCGTGCTGTCCTGGGTTCCCAGGGCCTAAGTGTGAAGCCCATTCATGGTTGCTCCTCCAGTCCATACTCAACTGTCGCTTAATTTCCTTCCCAACTCAAACATAACCTCCATTTTGTGCAGCACTGGAGCCAAGTGACTTAAGTCGTGGGGCAAGTGTCCCACCTTCCCCCGTTCTCGCAAGATAGCTCTCTTTATTTTCACCTTCTGTCTGGGCCTGAGGGCATTTGAGTTTGCAACTCTTGCTTTAAACCTGTTTTAGGTGTCTCCACACACTTTTTCTGACCTCTCCCTGACATCACCCATGCATTAGGGCCCTTCTTGATGTCCACATCATACCTCCAGTACATACACATGATCATATTTAGCGAAGTCTACTTTAACTTACCATCATTCTTGAGATTCTGTCACAGATCAGGTTTCCTGGAATAAACTGCAATAGGGTTGAATGCAGGCGGTTTATTAGAGAGTGCACTCACAATTGAAACCTGTGGTGGCAGAAGGGAGTTAGGGAAACAAAACTGGATGCAGGGAGAAGTTGCCTGTGATTCTTCCTGCAAGGAGATCTGGAGCTGGGATGGCCATCAGAGTCAACCTGAAGCAAGATGGCCAGGCATTTACAACCTCCATTGATCATTCATGGGATTCAGGCAGCTCCTTTGGAACAAGGGAAGTTCCTCAGTCATGGGAAATTCCTGGAGAAGTACACAGTGGAGACCTGTCACCTACTGATTCTCCCAGCAGCTGTGGGATACAGGCTTCGTGCCTTTAATATTTTGTAACCCAATAGGCCCAGCTCTTATTTCCACATTGCCCACACTCAGCATGGACCTGATGAATTGAATCTATGTACTAATCTGATTAACTCTGGTCAGAGAATGACTTTTATTTTCAGTAGGGCACATTTATTTCTTTTCCAATCAAACCAAGTTGGCTAATCCAAGTTTCCAGCTCTGGAGCCCACATCTGCAGGCCCCAGTGCCAGCTTAGCCTTGCTCCCCACTACAGGGACACCTCCCCATGAGTTTCCTGAGAGCCCCAGTCACTTCCTTGTTCCTCAGGCTGTAGATAAGTGGGTTGAGCATAGGGGTGATCATGGTATAGAAGGCAGAGACCACCTTGTCCTGCTTGGAGGAGTGGTAGATCTGGGGCTGCATGTAGGTGATCATGGCAGCCCCATAGAAGAGAGTGACCACGGCCATGTGGGAGGAGCAGGTAGCAAAGGCCTTTCGCCGACCTTTGGCAGAGTGCATACGAAGTACAGCCACCAGGATCTGCAGGTAGGAGGTGGAGATGACAGAGAAGGGCAGGAGAAGCATGAGGACACAGCAGACATATATCATTGTCTCATAGAGGGAAGTGTCAGCACAGGCCAGCTTGAGCACAGCGGGGACCTCACAGAAAAAGTGGTCGATCTCCTGGGAGCCACAGTAGGGGAACCTCAAGGTGAAGACAGCCTGGATCAGCCCATCCACCAGGCCAAAGAGCCAGGACCCTCCCACCATGAGCCAGCAGACACGGCGGTTCATGACCACTGAGTACCTCAGTGGGTTGCTGATGGCCACGTAGCGGTCATAGGCCATGAAGGCCAGCAGGAAGCACTCATCCCCAAGGAGGGTGAGAAAGAAAAGGATCTGGAGCCCACAGCCTGTGAAGGAGATGGAGCCACGGCCCAGCAGGAAGTCGGTGGCCATCCGTGGCACGATGGTGGAGATGAGCATGAGGTCCATGAGTGACAGCCAGCTGAGGAAGAAGTACATGGGGCTGTGCAGGCGGGAGTCCACATTGATGACAAGGATCATGAGCCCGTTGCCAGAAAGAGCCACCAGAAACATGACCATAATGATGGAGAAGAGGAGGAGGTGCAGGGGCGTGTGCGTGAAGAGGCCCAGGAGGACAAAGTGAGAGATGAGAGTCTGGTTTCCTGCCCAGGCCATTGTTCCTGCAGAGGGATGTGCCAGAGGGCAGTGGGATCTGGAAGCAGGAGGGTTGTGTTTAGTGCCATGGTAATGAGGATATTATGACTTTACCAAACGCGTTGCCCTCTTTAAATGATCATTGGTTTAGAATAAAAAGGCCTGGCATCTTTTACATAAATAATCTGTAACAAAGATGCAAACTGTTCTTGTTGTTGCTTTAACTTCTAGGACTGTATGCACGTTGTTGAAAAGCAAACTTGAAGCATTGACTGCTAAAGTAGACACTGCTCTGCATCTGCCAGGAGCTGGTCTCCGGCCCTCACAGTCGCTTCTCTACCAAGTTCTGGGTCAGCCTCACCTGAGGACCGGCTTTTTCAGAAAAAAGTACTAAAGCAGCAAAGACATTTACCGACTGTGTGAACTGGGTACCTAGATGACCTTTCAGAAACTCCATTTTCTTATCTTGAATTGGGATAACAATACTATCTTATGTGGTGATGGTAAAATTGAAGGTTATAACAAGCAATGCCTAGTAGTTTAGAAGTGATAACAGCTGACACTGCTTGAGCATTTCTCACGTGCCAGGCACCACGATGAGCACTCTGTCACATCCTCACATTTACTCCTCATAACTGCCCTGAAAGATGGATCATTATCCCCATTTCACAAGTTGGGAAACAGACAGAGGGAAGTTTATTAATTTTGTTCTTTTCAGATGTGAAAGCTTTAAGTATTTCCTAAGAAACTTAGTAAATGAGAAACTAAATGCCCAACGCAAAGGAAAAACTAAGAAAGTTATGGCATAATCACATGATAAAATACCATGTAGTCAAAGAGATATTTATAACATTTTAAAAGCTATTGAGCAAAAATTTACATCTACTGAGTATTTTTAAAAATTTTAAAGACTGGGAGTAAAACACTAAGATATTAAGAATGTGCTTTCTTCTAGATGGTGGAATTAAAAATTATGTCTTCTCATTTTTTTTTTTGTATTTTACACATTTTTTATAAGGAATGTGGAAATATAATTTTTAAAGCAAAGTTATACAACATATAATATCATTACTCAAAACTGGCAGCTTTCTCATATAATACCACTAACCAATTAGTGAAAGTAGTAGAAAAAAATTAATATATCTTATTCACGATCGCTGTAAAGTTCCTAGGAAAGAACTCTAATGCTAACAATAACAGAGCATTTGCATGACCTAAAAGACAACCTGAGGAAAGCTATGCATGTTCTTGGATATAGGCTCAACAGCCTAAGGGTGTAAATTCTCCTTAAAATAAATCTATAAAATTCATGTGATCCCAAAGAAAACCCCAAAGGACACTTGTAGCTTGATGATGGCACTGTAGAGTTAGGATTCTCTCAGAAGTCATCCAAAAGCAGTAAGGACATTCAGAGCAGAAGCACAGTCTATGGTGGACGAAGCTGGGATGGCTGAAAGCTGTATCCACAAACAAAACTGGAAGGGACAGCAAAAGCAGTAGAAACTGAGCAGGGGGAAGGAGAAAGTGGGAAAAAGACACCTGTGAACATAGAGCACAAAGTAACCTCTGCAAAGAGCAGAGCAAAACCCAAATCACTAGTTTGCATTAGTGGAAGCAAGGAACAGGTACAAGGATACCCCTGGGACCTGGTTTATTACAAGGAGCAGAGGAGAAGGAATTGAACAAAGAAATGCACAGATAAGCCTTATTTGCAAAAGGAATTCTGCCTTGGTGGCATGGAGAGAAGAGATGTGTGTTAAGGACAGCCCTCCAGTTCTCCATCTCAGTAGCCTGAAGATAATGTAACCTTATATTCAATACCTGGTGTTTGGAGACCTTGATATATGAACTTCACTTTGGGGTTAAAATGGCCAATTGAGCACACAATCAGTGCTCCTTGCAAAATCTCACTAGAGTGAGGGTGCCCATAGGTACCACAAGTGCAGCTGAGAAGACAACAGCAGCATTCTTTGGAACTGGAAGCAGATGGGTGGGTGTAGCCGACTTGCAGACCTGAGCAGGCTGAGCTGCTGATTAATTAAGTGGCTGGGAAAGAGAGACTAAAACCAGGGCTGGCTTGACAGTCAGCTGAAGAAGCACAGATCTCTCCTGACACCACAGAGATGGGCCTTGCTCTTCCTACATGCCAGCAGCGAGCAGGAGACTGATTCCCCAAGAAGGTAAAGCTGAGACTGCCAGGCCCAGGGGAGGTGAGGATGCTGTCAGCAGAGCGGATATGTGAGTAAGCAGGGTGCCTGGCCTTGCCTTCTAGTCAGCTCCATGGAGCTCCCTGCCCCAATCCAGGAATCTGATGGGCCCAGGAACTATCTAAAGATACGGATGTTGGAAGTTTTTTAAAAAAATAACACAAAACCCCCATCATCTCATCCAGAGTGAAGCCATTATTAATATGTCACAACCACATGCTTGGAGTACCCAGCCTGTTTTTTATTACCCCCTCATATTTTACCAGGAGCAGACAACCAAAGGTCAGCAGACATCTGAAAAGTTTTCATCCTCAAAGGGGAAGAAAAACAACAAAGCGAAATGGATGAAAAAAATACTCTTCAGGGAAAAAAAGGTTTCAAGATTCTTATAATCAGCATCGGATGAGATAAGTAAAGATATTATAAATATAAAACAAGAATAAGATCCTATCAGAAAAGGAGCATTCATGGGACAATATTTTTAAAAATATACAACTTTTGACTAAGCAGTTCTACTTATATATTTACCAATATATTTGCACATCTGTGAAATGACACATAGAGAAGATGATTTAGTGTAGATTGATTTTAGTAGAAAAAAATTGCAAATAACCTACATGGGATGGTGGGAAGCAGCAAGCAAAAACTTATTTCCAAAGGTTAGAAATATAAGCACAGGTGGTGGGTGGTTGGGCAGGCGAGGACTTTGCCATTGTGTTTCAAAATCCAACAGCCAGATATCATTCATTAGGGACGGACAACTCTCCCAGTACCCTGAGGGGGGCAGTTTAGGGGTGCAGTCCTTGGGTCTTCTCTAGTTTTATCCATAGAACAAAGAGTTAGGGGAGAAAACCACAATTTTTTAGAAACCAAATTTCACTGCACAAGAGTTCTCCACCTCAAGAGAAATTGTAAGCAGGAGAAAGGTAGGGAGAGTTGTGGGGTAAACAAACATTTTAAGCATTTGATCACAGGAAGAGGAAATGTAAGACACAGAGAGGAAGAACCTTACCTGAAACCATGTAATCACTAATGCCAAGAAGGGCTGGAGAGTCAGGAGGGCAGATCTGGATCTGGAGCCGTATTTCCTGGTGAAGAGACTCTACCGCCCCGGGGGGATGGGGGGTAGAGGGTGGGGGGTGAGGAGGCTGCTCTGATCACTCAGGGGGCTCTGCAATGGGGTCTTTCTCAGCCAGGGGGAACTGGGTCACCTCCATCCCCTGAAGGAAATGGGCCTGAAAATGGAGCAGGAGAGACCTAAGAAAGGTAGAGAAGAGAAATTTCCAGGAGAAATAAAAACTCATGTGGTCAGAATTCCTCTAGACTCTCCTCCTGTCCTGTGAAAATAGGAGTTGATGGAGGTATGTGGGGCACTCCCCACCCCCACACAGGAAATGCCTGATGTCTTTTGTGGTGGGGCTGTGGAAAGGTTGTGAATAAATGCTTTGGTTAAAATGAAGGAAAATGGATTCTGAAAGAAGGAAGGTAGAAAAACCTGAAAGAGAGATCCATGCTAAAACTCTGGCAGAATCTTTAGGGGTTAAGAAAAAGCTTTCTAGAAACCGTCATCATAGAACACCCATATAAAAGGAAACAAGGGGGCCTGGGTTGGGCCTGAAGGGGAAGGGCTTCCTGCTGGGAGCAGCACAAAGCCTCTCACCTGTGGAGGAGACCCCCATGCTGGGCCAGGTCCAGGGCTAGAATGAGGGGTTTTATACTCTGCCACTCCTCAGTGCCACCTATTGTTCTCATCTCTGCTACTCCTTTTTCATAACTCCTTGGAGACTCTTCCTCTGCCACACCTTTATCCCCTGTCTCCGCCAATTAAACCTCCCAGGGATGAAAGCCTCCTGAAAACTTCTCTTTGTCTCTTAGCCACCCCAATGGATACTCTCCCAGGGGGAGGTAGAGAGGAAAACTGGGGGGGTTTCAATGGGTCGACCTAGGAAGAATTGGCTCTCCTTACATTTTAAAGGGGAATGATAATGTTGGGTTTTGTTTGTGTTGTCCACATTGGAGAGACCATTATATCAAGTGTGTATTCAAAGCCAACAGGTCATCTTCCAGAGTCTTCCAGACTGTCACCCTTCTACATCTTTCTGCTTCCTCCTTTTACCTGCTTAAATGAGAAGGCTCCCATCCAAGACACACTGACCTCAGAGCTCAATTCCACTGGAATTCAATTCAGTCCCCAAGTGTTCAAGGATTCAAAATACAACTCTGCTATAACCAAGAGTTCATCTTCCCCTGGCACTGACCCATCCTGCCCACTTTCTTGTCAGCTCCCACCCAGCTGAGTTCTCTCACACCAAGATTTTTCCAAAAATAAAGGTAGCATAGCACATACTCTTGACCTTGAAGCTAAACAGAGTTGGGTGGAAATCTTATTTAGACTTGACCTTGTGTAAGTGACCAATCTGAACCCTAGTTACTTCATTTGTAAAATTGGACTATTGATGTTTACTTCAAAATATTTGTGAAAATTAAATTAAATAGACAACCTAAAGTCGTCTGCTTATTATAGGTTCTCAGAATTATAGTTACTAGTGCCACTGCCCTTTATTATCTCTAAAGCCTGAAAGCTGAGACAAAAATACAGACTTTGCAAAAATAGTTTATAAAACTCACTAAACAAATTACTAAATCCTATAGCGTACAACAAAAACAAATGCTGAAAAGGGAGAAGAATTAGATTTTTGAGATAGCGCATTATAATGTTCGAAATGTCCTGTTTTCTACAAAAAATTAAAGGGCACGAAAAGAGGAGAGTTTAATACATTCACAGAAGAAATAAACAGAAACCGTTCTTGAGAA